TTATTTAGTAATAGGCCCTTATCTGTGTTTGGTAGATCTATCGTCTGTAATCTTATAGCTTTATCTAAACTCTGGTACGTTGGCTCTGTTTTAGTTCCTCCTCGTAATTTTATTATTAAAGTGCAGCGTCTCTGTTTTAACTTTATATGGCCTTCCAAAAATGAACCTGTAAGGAGAAATATTATGTACTCCAGTGTATCACAGGGTGGGACTGGTATCATACACATTTCATCTAAACTAAAATCCTTACGTGTTATGCATATCATTAATGGTATTTCAAATCGTAATGCTAAATGGGTCTTGTGGTTGAGATTCTGGCTTGGTCTGCAGCTAAGAGAATTTAATCCTTCCTTTAAATCCAATTTACAACCTCATGGGTTTCATTTACCTCCTTTTTATAAGTCATGTTATTCTGATTTTCTGGAGTTTTTAGATATTGCCAAAAGGAAAGGAATTAATATTGATTTTATAAAACTCACTGTGAAAAACATTTATCAAACCTTTCTACTGGATATACTTACCGTTCCATCTGTTGTTACTGATTTTCCAACCATTAACTTCACTGATTCTTTTAACAATGTTCACCATAAAGGTATTGATCCTGTCACTAAAACGGTATCCTATAGACTAATTCTTAATGCTCTCCCACTGGCAGACCGTTTATATGACAGATATCTTTCTAAATATAAAACCTGTATTTTATGTGGCACTGCAATAGAAAACATTCAACATTTATTTTATGACTGTTCCTTACTTATTCCTATACTTACCTTAATTTCAGGCTGGATAAAAACTGTATCTGATAATGCTGTTCCATCTTTAAGTTTTGACACAATCCGTTTTATGAACTTACCTAAACTTCCTTCAACAGCTACTTCTATTATACTTCTAATTTTTTCCGAATATAAATATGTTATCTGGTATTATAGGAACCTGAAAAAATTTGAACATAAACCTGTTACACCTTCTGATTTAAATAAATTGTTTTCGTCCAGATTAAAATTTCATAT